AGAGAGAACTGAACATCTGATGTCTCTGGGTAAATGAGATCAAAGTCAGTCCCTTGGGTGAGGCTTTCCGAGAAACTCCTAGAGAGGAAAAACTGATTGCCCCCCGCCCTTATTTCACCTAGAACTAAGAGATGAGTAGCATTTTCCTTTTTCATCTATGACATAATAAATGTATACTACAAATTGCTAAGTATATTAGTTACTTTTTTGTTTTATAGTGGCTGCCCGTTAAGTAACTACTGTCCTAATCAGAGATTGCAGCTCTACTGCTCCCAGCAGTGGTCCCATTGAAGGGGCCACAGCCTGAGGGGATTCTGTTCCCTCAGGCACCGACTCCTTCAAAGCTACTAAGGGAAACTTTATCTAGATCTCTCTCTCTCTAAATAACTCATAATTCAAAGGTTGAGGTGGAATTCTGCTCGCTCAGAGAGACTGAAAAGCAAGTAGCTCACCGTCTCCCTTTGCTGGCGTCTTCCAAAAACCCAGCCATCCTTCTGCTCAGCCCCCACTATACGTGGTTCCTCCCTACCACTTCCTGTCAGCTACTTGCTGACTCAGTCTCCTGCTCACAGGTTAAATCTATTTAATCAAACAAATGCAACACATCCTTGCATTGTTAACAAAAGCAGTAGGGAAAAAATGCAACACACTTTAAAACAATATTCCATAACAGGTTTCGATACAGAGTTTCTCTATGTAGCCCTGGCTATCTTGGAACTCTCTCTATAGACCAGGCTGGCCTTGAACTTACAGAGATCTTCCTACTTCTGCCTACTGAGTTCTGGAATCAAAGATGTGTGCCACTGCCTTCTGGCTTTATTTTTTTTTATTTATTTATTTATTTTTTTTTGAGACAGAATCTCTCTATGTGGCCTTGGCTGTCCTGGAACTTGCTGAGTAGACCAGGCTGGCCTTGAACTCACAGAGATCTACTGGTCTCTGTCTCCCAATTGCTGAGATTAAAGGTGTGTGCTGCCATGCCCTGCAACCAATTGTTAATAATACTCCAATATGAAAAATACAGATCTTGTGATTGGAAGACTTTCCATTTAACTGCTATCTGTCATGTTAGAGAAACTAGAGTGAATGTGAATGATCAAATGTTATATAGGTGCTGGGTTCCTCAACGTGAGAACAGGGACAGGTGGGCATAGCAAGTGTTTGGTCATTTTCCTCATTACGAAAGTGGTGGCACTATAATATAATGCCTGTGATGATTTTGTTAGATAGGCTCTGAACTAGAAATCCTTCATCTAGACTACCTTTTGGAGAGGGTCGTTCTGTTCTATTTTGTTAATGACTCTGGGAACCAATCACCAATTGTCCAGGAACTGAACATGGCTTGGGTTGCTGTGCTTCTGACTTTCATGGGACAAAACATGGGTTCAAGTTCATCCCTAAATATTGTTATGTACTTGGTTCTTAGCTTGTCCAATCAGTACTCTGTTTGGGTCAACTCCATGTAACATTGAACAACATTTTGCATTCCTGGACTCTTTCCTCATTCTCATACATCCCACCTTAGCTCACTTATATTACAAACATTATGCACACAGATTCACTTGGATTTAATTGCAATTATTATTTTTTATTTTTTCCTGGTACTGCAAAATTGATGAAGGAACCCAGGATATTTAGACATATTCTCTGTATTCCTATAGTCTCCTTCATTGTCTGAAAAACCACAGACTTCATTTAAAAGGCAATGAATCCTTCATCAGGTTTTCTTTAAGCCATGTATTTATCAGGATTCCCACTTGTGCTGTGGCTTAACTTTATAATCTTTGATTTATAATTTGCAGCTGCTGAGAACCAGAGGGAAGCCCACTCCTTTGGAAGAGCATTTCCCTAGATTACTTCACCACTGCTGGGGATCCCCTTGAACACTGGTCCCTGAACACCAGCTTCCAGAAGATTCCATGGATGGCCATCCAGTCTTATCCACTGCAGTTTTCCCTCTGCACTTCCTTCTTTAATTCCTTCGATCCAGCGAGGCTCTCATCAGGGTCAGAGCAGAGATGGACCAGCTGGACCACAGATTGGAGGACTGACCTCTTAGAGTGCCAACAGTCAACAGTGTGCTGTCTGACCCATAGAAAGATAAGAAGAAGAAGAAAATATGCTATGTGGAAGGAAGAGGAATGGTTTGATAATTCCTTAGAGGCTGAAAGTGAGGAACAACCAAATTTAGAGGAATATGACATTTTCCTGCAGGGCTTCTCTTTTGTCCCTACTGAGATATATAATCTGGGTGTTCCTGCTGGACTGTGATTCAGAGGAGACTAAGTCTTCTAGTGGTCCTCCTGCTAGTAAGAAACACCAACCCATTGGTCTCTGTATTGCTTCTCTGCACTGTAGATCTGCACTTTTGACCTGGAAGATGTTGGCATTGACTTTTGTAGGATCAAGGTCAATGATAACAGTAGTTCAAACCTTCCCCAACTTTGTGTTTATAGATCAGGTGGTGACATCCTGTACTGAGTTTGTTAGAGCAATGGAGTCACAGGGTGGAACTGAACTCTTAAAATATTTGGCTGAAACATGATATTGCTAGTTATGTAGAAGACAGCATTATGGAACATGATCAGAATCATGAAACAAGGTACTACTGGTTAAATTTTGCAATCCAGCAACCCACTAAGGACAGTGTAGACTCTACAGAAACTGGGAGCAGGTAGACATGGTTCTTTTCCCATGGAGCTTACACTCCAGTGTCCCTGTAGGTGTGAAAAGCAGTGGCTATAGCATATGCGTGGCCACTAGTTGGGGAGGAGTTCCTAATGCTGTAATCATGGCCAGTGGCCAAGTATCTCTAAGCCTACCTTTTATAAGCAATCTATGGACATGGACTGCTTTTCCCTAGCCAAAGTCCTGGGATGTCAGGGGAAGTGCTTGAGGTTTGTAGCTTCTGGGGAGGGAAATATGAAATGATTTAGACCAGGGAACAAAAAGGGATGGGATACAGAACCAACTATTGCTTTTATTCTGTGTAGAAATTACAGTATAAAATATACTGGGCTGGGAAACTTTGACACCTTGATATTATTCCTTCCTTCCTTCCTTCCTTCCTTCCTTCCTTCCTTCCTTCCTTCCTTCCTTCCTTCCTTCTTCTCCTTACTTTCCTTCTCCTCCTCCTTTTTTTTTATAATACTAAAAAGCTATGTGATTGTAGGCAAGCCATTTCCCATTCCCTGTGGATGTCTCTTGAGTGACTTTTAAACCCCTTCTAGTTCTGAAAGTCTTTTTTTTGTTGTTGTTTATTTGTTTGTTTTTTTTTTCAAGACAATGTTTCTCTGTGTAGCTTTGGAGCCTGTCCTGAAACTTTCTCTGTAGATCAGGCTAGCCTTGAACTCACAGAGCTCCACTTTCCTTTAGCCCATGAGTGAGTGCTGGGATTAAAGGTATGCACCATCACCACCTGGCACTCTGAAAGTCTTAACATCAGGCCCCGGGCTACAGGGGTCAGTTTCAAAATACCCTGCCTTCAGTTGCTAGATCATATATATTCAGCATCTCCATAAACTTTTTTTTTTTAGATTTTTTGAGGGAATGTCTGTTTTATCAACTTTTTAAGTGCACATTGAGTTCTTCTGTGGAGTTAAGAAGACGCTAACTCTACGTCCTCCTTCACTGTGGCTTGCTGCCTTTCCTCATGGCCTTTGCTTGTTCACATCTCTACTGAGCTTATGCTACGTGCTGTGCATCAGATACGAGTTGGGTTTGGAGATGCATGCTGAACCTGACACTTCCCAGACTCCCTTCCCGTTTCCAGAGAGCCTTCCCTTTCCTTCTACCTTCTGGCACTTTCTTTGGCAGGAACCAATTGTATCTAGGCAGTGTGCTGTAGCACCCTTGATGTAACCACATGCAAACAGGGACCACATAGTCCCTAAGCAATTTTATCAAACACTAAGATAGACATTTAAGTAACCATTCAGACCCAGGGTTACCACAAAAAGAACGTTCTCCAGGTATAAGGAAGAGGACATTTTCCTTCCAGGATGTGTGCAGAAGGACCACGCTCCAGCCTGTGGAGAACACCAAATACTCTACTCCCTGCAACCTGTCCTTGCCCAAGTAGAAATAATCTAAAACCCAAAATACTTCCCAGTAAATAGACATACTTTCTATGCACTGTTTTTCTCTGTACCACCCTCATGGCTTGCCACTTCTTAAAAAAGGAATGGAAAAACACTAATCAGACAAAAACGTTGCTGTGAGCTCTGACCTCATTGGGAATCCTTTTAGCAATTTCTCATTTCTATTTTATTATCAACAAATCCACTGAATACTTATCTTTAAGTCCAGGATACACAAAACAATGGAATTTCAGGCTCAGAGCTGTTGACATATACTATTTGTTTTGAGTCTTTTTGTCACAGGGAATGACTTCAGACATTTCAGTTTAATGACATAAGTGGGGAAATGAACGACTCTTGACTTTCACTTTCTTTTTCAGTTCAGGTCAAGGAATAGGTACCTCCAGATAATGTCTACACTGTCTCTATTGCCTTTCTTTATGTAGGTATATATCACTACCAAGGATAATATTCATCTCCTCTTCTTGTCTTTATTTCCTACCTGGCAAATATATTAAAGACAGTATAAAGTTCATGAGATAAACTTTTCTGATAAGAGGTTTGAGAAACAAAGGGCCAAGATTGTTGTATTACAGGGCCCATGTAGGAAGTTTATTGAGGGAAGGGGAGAGAAGCGGCAGAAAAAGGGGCAGAGACCGGTCCCTGGGGCTGAGAGTGAAGGAAGAGAAAGAGAGAGAGATGGGAGGTGTACAAGGCCCGCCTTTTATAAGGAAACATAGCGGACGTGCACAGGGGTGCTCTTAGTGACTGCAGCTGAGGAATACCCTGTCAGGACCCTAAGGGCAGGCCAGTACAGATGCCTGAATGCTAACAAAGATAAACAAAATAAATGAAAAAAAGACAACTTAAATGATTAGCAAACATTCAACTATAATTTTTGGAATCCATGTCTAGTGTATCCTTTCTGTTGTTTTTTTTTTTTTTTTTTTTTTTTTTTTTTTTTTTTTTTTTTTTTTTTTTATTTTTTGATTTTTGTTGTTTTTGTTGTCGCTTTTCA